AGCGTAAGAATATGGGATGACATGGTGGCTCAGTGGTTAGTATTTCTGCCTTGTACTGCTGGCGTCCTGAGATCATTTCCTTGGATGAACTCATGATTGTACATGGTTGCTAGTAGTATAATTTTATAACATTATTTTGTTTATAACACAAACAATGATTATAGATCACGTCATAAATAGCCTAGCACTCTGTTTGACTTTGTTATTTCAGCCTTTACAGTGTATTTCCAACCGTTTCAGCACGAAAAAAACTTTATGCAGTCTCTCCTTGTTAAATAAGACCTCCTGGGAAAAACTAAGGTTGCTGCTGGAAGAGGTGTTAGTGGGGCCAGCAGGGGGCGCTCACCCCGTGGTCCATGTGGGTCCTAATGCCCCAGTATAGTTATGGGGAAACTATAATGTAAACAGGCACCATCCTTCGGATAACACGTAAAACCGAGGTCCTGACTCTCTGTTGTCATTAAAAATCTCAGGGCATTTCTCAAAAAAAGTAGGGTTGTAACCCCGGCATCCTGGCCAAATTTCCCATTGGCCCTTACCAATCATGGCCTCCTAATAATCAACATCTGTGAATTGGCTTCATTACTCTGCTCTCCTCCCCACTGATAGCTGATGTGTGGTGAGCGTTCTGGCGCACTATGGCTGCCGTCACATTATCCAGGTGGATACTGCACATTGTTGGTGGTGAAGGGAGTCCCCATTACCTGTAAAGCTCTTTGAGTGGAGTGTCCAGAAAAGCGCTATATAAGTGTAAGCAATTATTATTATTTATGATTAATTTCACTCCCTTATCTCTGACTAAACAGCTCTTAACTTAATAGGCATTCAGTGGATGATGAACAGACACAGGTGGGAATGCCGCTGTATCTAACAGTTCCCACAATGCTTCAGTGGTTTTTCATCCATCCATTTTCTAACCACTTTATCCAATACAGGGTTCCCAGAGAGCTTGAGTCCATCTTGCAAGCAAGAGTAACAAGGCAGGATACATCCTGGAAGGGATGCCAGTCCATCACAGGGTATACACAGACACGCACACAACAGGGCCAATTTTTGCAGAAGCCAATTAACCTACCAGTATGTCTTTGGACTGTTGGAGGAAACCAGAGCATGGAAGGAAACCCATGTGAACACGGGAGATCACACAAACTCCATGCAGATTGCACCCCAGGAACTTAACCCAGAACCCCAGTGCTGTGAGCACTGTACTACCACAGTGCGATCGGGCCACCCCCAGTGTTGTTTAGTCGACTTAAAACCAGCTACCTGGAAGAGGGTTGTGTTGAAACTCACAAATTAACATAGGGTTCATACCTATTTACAAATCCCATTCAGCTTTTAAAAAATAAAAAGACACGTGTTACCCAGTACGAGATGTGACAGTGCGGTGGGGAAGGCAGCACGACGAGTACCGGTAAAAAGTCAACACGCCAGGTGTCACACCCTCTACAGCTAGAGGGCTCTCCTACTCTGTCCTGTCCCTAGTTTCCTGTGCTTTGCTGTCCTTCCAGTATATCTCTGTGTGGGGCTATATATTTCCAGGTCATGTTTTCTTTCCGGGTCACCTCAGCATTGAGGTTCGAATGTCCTGAGACCCGCCTAGCACCAGGTCGCCCCACGTTCATAGCCTGAGGGCATATGTTTCTATATGGCATTTCCTGAACAGCTGAGTCTGGGCTAACCCCCATCCTGCCACTACGCATAGGGTCTTTTTTTGCTCTCTTGCCGTTCCACGGTTCATCCCTTCCGACATCCCTGATGCCGGGAGAGGGGACGGAAGCACTGGTGTGAGGTTAGCAGGGACCATAAATAATACAAAAAGAGGTGAAAAATAAACAAAAGGCAAAAAGAAAGTACTGTATACCGCTGTGCCTCGTAACCTCCAGGCTGGGCTTACCCTATTTCACGTGGTCCAGCCTGGGGAAAAAAAAAGAACCACTAGCACAGCGGTGACCAGACTTTACTTACCCTACTTAGAGGGGTCCAGTCTGGTAGAGTAGGCGTAAGGGAAAAACAAAAATAAATTTTGTGGAAAAAGAGCAGCCTGCCCTGGTGGAACTGCACAGCGGGTCAGGCGAAAAAAGGAAAAGGAAAGAAAAAATAACACATTTTGCGGGTGCAATTCCCTCTGGGACTGTTGGTGTAAAAATTCCTCTTTCTGGGTCCGTGTAATGCCACACAGAGATCGACAGGATAGAGACATTGTTTACTGTTTATTTCTGAAACCAAGGACAGAGTGCAGAAAAAAACCTAAACCAGCAAGTTAATCAATTACTGACAGTGGTTAACACAGGTGATTAAGGGCCCATCTGAAAAAGTAACAGCAGATACAGGGGCACTCAAGGACCTGGACTGAGAACCACTGGTCTAAACCTGAAAATTATCTAAATATAACCTGTTTTTTGTTTAGTAACCTCTACTGTGGTATCATCTATGAAGATGAGTAGTTTAGCAAGAATGCCAAGATCTAAGGTAGGCCAATACTATAAATCAGGAAAAGCAGTGGTCCTTGTGCAGTACCCTTTGATATGCCCCTAGTAACTTCACCCCAATTGGATCATTCACCTCTTTTCTGTACTCTTTGTTTTCAATCCATTGACTAGTTTGTAGTACAGTTACGTACATGCATTTCTTTGAAAGCTTTCTGCTTGGAATGTGAGAATTAATTCTTTTTGAGAAACTATCAAAAGTACATTATCATAAGCTTTATTTTTTCCCATTCTGCTGTATGTTCAAAAAACTGTAATAACTTAGTTAAATAGATATAGCCTGTATCATGGTTAAATCCTAAGTCCAACTTTGCAAGAACAATACATCTTGAAAGGTTTAATATTTGGTACATTAATGCTTAAATTAAGAAACATCACAAGATGAAAATAATATAATCTGTTCAATTACCTGAGTCCTTTTAAACTCCTCATCTTTTCATTTGAACAATTCATAGTCATTCAATGTTTACTGGTGAGTTCACCATGGCAACAGTGTTTGTTACAGCCAGCATGCAGCTTTGCACAGCATATAAAGAAAGGATAAGATTTGAGAGGAAGTAGACTGTATTATCAATGTTGTTAGTAGTATTATTTGGTTTATTTAAACATTAATATGCAAAGGAAATTGTGTGATTCCTGGATTAAAAATTAGTGTTCAGTTTCTTCCAAAACATATTTCTTCATCACCATAATTTATCCTTATTATTATAGAACAAATGAAAAAAGTGATTGAGATATATCACTCACCTCCGTTATTATTATTGCCCCCTGTTCACTTATTTTCCCGTGTCTCAGAGGTAATTTCAGAAAGACCTTCTCTGGTGCTTTGCTGTCAGCACTTTGTGGCAATAGAATCGCATGTGTGTGGTTGTCAGCAGGATTCTATCTTACCAATAAAATATTCATCGTTAAAGTGAGGTGTGCTAGCTTTAATGGGGTCATTCAAAAGCAGAGACATTACTGTATGATTGAAGCAAAATAGAAACTTATTATGTTATTATTATAGTACTCATTAATATACTGAGTAATATTTCAGTTCCCATTGAAATGTGCCAAGGTGATTGTTGTCATTCACTAACATCTGTTCTTTATCATTTGCTGCTCATAATTTTGTTCATAAAGCCTCGCTGAGATGAGTGATAAATACAGAGAATAATCACATTATACTTTCTTATAGGTTAAACAGGTGAATTTATTTACTTTAAAAAGTATGAAAATGTGAATAACTGATAAATTGTAAGTTGTAAGTTGAAGTTTTGTTGTATTTTATTGTTTTGTCTGATAACTCATAAAAAATGTTGAAAAAAGCTCATAAAAAAGAATTCACCTGGCACAGATTTGCAAGGAAATGTATGCTGATAGTAAGAGACAAAGTATTCTTTTAGGAGTGAAAAGGTATTTTATGAGAGATTTAATCTAAGAAGATGTCTGTTTAGAGAAAAAGGTATCACCCAAGCTCAAGTGTATATCTAAAAAATGGCTACATTTGATTTTCCTCATTATTTTTCCTGAGAGCACTGATAACTGTTTGGAAAAAGAATAAAATGGATATTCCGAAAATTACAATTTTGTATGCTACAGTGAAAACAATACTTTTATTTGGAAGCATATATATTGTGTACTGTATGTTGCTTTGTTTTAGAGTTTTAGAAGAGTTTTAGAAGAAACTGACTGTGTTAGGAAACACACTTACTGCATTTTTTATTTCTTGCAATTTATTCAAGTTTTAGAGTAAGCATAAACATGCTCAAGACTTCAGGGAGCATATCTTACAATATTGAATCCATCTGTTTTCAGATACAATGATAAAAAGCATTCATGGTCCTCACCTAAATTAATAAGGAAAGAGATGTTAATTAGTTATATAGAACAATTATTTAAGGTTATTCATAACTAATTTATAAAGTCTTTTCATATAGTTTTGTTTTTACTTCATTTATTCGGTGATTTGACTTCACCTTCATACTGTAAATGACAGATATTTTTAAACAATTCGCATTTGGTGCTAACCAATTACAATGGTCAATAACACACAGCTTTAACCACAAAACATACATGATGCAGAGCTGATTCTTACTCAACTATCCAAAACTGAGAAAACCCTCACCATTAGTTTGCTTGAATTTAGGTCTCCAGGTTTCATGGAATAATGCTAAGCGCAACAAAAGAAGCGGACATCATTCAGGGATGTGTCATCCAATCCTGCTTGGTAGGGCTCCTGCTTAGTTTCAATACCACAGATGCCTTCTCCTTTGCATTCTTCACTCCAGTTGCCATATTCACCCCAAGTCCAACCCATCCCCTCGATGACTGGGTTGCTGGAGCAACGGAACCTGATGTTGTTGGCCGAAGTGTCATCACCAAACAGTCCTTGAGGGGCTTCAACTCTCAACTGGAATGACTTCAGCGTGCCAGAGGGGCACCACAGAGTCTGAGTCCACTCTCCAAACCTCCAGAAACAGGAGAAATTAGAAACCCTCAGAGCTTGGCTACTAATATACAAGATAATTTATTTAACTTTTGAAAAGGTAAAATAAGTATTAGTAATCACTTAAAAAGCAAAACAAACCCACAATGTTCACATTTAAGTGAGGAATAAGGTAGCACATATACTGTACAGCACATGGCCGAGTTTTTCTCTCAGTTAAGGAAATAAAAAGACGAGGTAAATAACTCACAACCCAGTATGAGATTCCACTGTGTAAAGAATGCTTCTGTCTGTAGGCCTGGAACAGAATAGGCGAATACCATTGAGTGCAGTATCATCCATGCCTACCTGGTTCTCTTCTACCTATAAACAGAAAAAAAAAAAACAGTATAAAGATTACAACATATATCCATGTAAGCTAGCATCTTTGAATTCACTGACTACAGTAGGTGAATCTGAATTAATGTGAAACCTGAAGTTTAGTGGAGTTATCTGTTCTCATCTTCTACTATGCTATATATTATCAAAAACAATTCCTGATATGGGAATTAATTATATTTACTCATTAAGTCATTTGATTTTAATTTAAACATTTTGTCATTTTCTTTAGTTTTACTTGTTTTACAGTTTCAACATTCTTTCTCCAAATCAATTTTTTATTTAACACCTTACAGGCTTTGCTTCATGAGTGATTGTCTTACCCTCAGACTGAATCCTATTGCATAAAAGCCTTCTGGACACATTTCAGGCCAAGTCCATGATCCAAAATCTCCTCCATTGCTAACTACCAGAGTGGAATTGTATTGCCGTCCAGCAAAGATTGTACCCGCTCTCTGCACAAAGCTGGTTTCCTCTTGCTTACACCATACTGGGAAAAATACAAAAAGGACAGATAGGGTACTGAAGAGCAGTAGAGATGCCATCCCAGGAACAAGAGACATGCCCCTCAGTTAAGCAGACTTGGGCACTTAGATCTTCACTGTATTTATACCCAAGATCATTCTTCACCACCATGGACAAAAAGTACCAATCATTTATTGATATCTTGAACAAACATGTCAAGGTTCACCTTATCAACATTAATTATTCACAAGCCCGAGAAATGTTTAAAGAAGAAACATCTGCTGCACTGAAGTATTAAAAAGACTTTACCTCTATTGTATATAGATTGAACAGACACAAACTGTCAGACTGTTCAAAAATTTAGCCGACCTCAGGGTTTCATGAAAAGCAAATGTAATTCTAAACAAAAATGTCTGATAAATAGTGTTTTTAAAATAATTTAATATACTCTTTCTAAAGATAATACTAGCAGATGTGTCACAATCTTTACGTTATTCTCCCAATGAGTGTGTTCCATAACTCCTCTGAACTATGTTATCAGTACTTTGTTAGAATTATTTCAATAGCATGGAAAAATGTAATTATTTATAAAATGCAGATATTGTAGTGGTGTTTTTCCCTTACCTGTGGCAGTGAGGGGAGAAGGAGGCAGCTGGACAGCAGGTTGCAAGCTCAAAGGTGTTTATTGCCTTTAATCTTTAACAGGTGTGTGCTAATCACTGGGAGAGAGTGAGTCCAGCATTCACTAGCACATAATGTGGCAAAAGATGTGGTAAAAGAAGGCCTCTCTCCTCTATATAGGGGGAGAATGGAGAAGAAAGTGAATATGTGTGGTGGAAAGGGGGCAAGGTTAAAATAATAGTCTTGGCAGTCCATCACTGGGTGTAAGAACACTACACTGATAACCCTCACCTCCCTCACATCTGACTGGTGAGAGTGAGAAACCTGCCTCTGCTCCACATCCCAGACTTTGAATGGTTTCACCTTTGTTTTGAGGTCATTGTTCCATCAGTACTTATGTCTTGCAGTTCTTGCCTGACTGGCGGCATAGGTGTGAGCCATTTCTATGTGTTCCCTAAGCTGGCTGGTGTATTCAAGGCCATCTCCACTGGTGTACTGTGTTCCCGTACAAGAAGAGGAGAGCCGGGGTGCACCCGGTGGATTCCTGGACCGTGGTCCGATACGCCCAGAACGCAAGGGGGAGGTGGCGGTCCCAGTCCCATTAGTGCCGGGACACCAGGGTGGCCAGCTGGGTGGCGAGCGTCCAATTAAACCGCTCCACCAACCCGTCGCTCTGGGTATTGCTCTTAGAGATCCCCAGGCGCCGGCACACTCTGGCGAAGACCTGGGACTCAAAGTTACACCCCTGGTCACTGTGTAACTCCTCCGGCATCCCTAGACCGGCAAACATCCCCTCCAATATGAGTCACTTACTCCTGACACTTAGGAATGCAGTCCAGATGTCCATCTGGCACTCCCTAGACAGATAGGCGCCAATGGATGAATAGTTTCTCTGTGGCTGCACCACAGAGATGAACAAAGAGATGGGGCCTCATTTGGGAAAGCCCACAACACTTAATTCTGTCTTATTAACAAGCATTGCCGCTACAGCTCAATAAGTCCAACAACACGCGCCGGGTCTGCCCCACAGAACAGACAAACTGCAAGGGTTTCCCAGCTCTTATATACAGTCAGAAAAAAAGTTTGTTGCACTATCTGAGTGCTTGTCCTGTTCTTTGATATGTAATTATTTCTTGTCCTACTCTGTCTTGCTTTAGGTTCTGTCCTTATATGCAGAAGACATTGGTCTGCTTTATCCTGTTTGTGGGTGTTGTTCTCGTCTTTTATTATGTAGTGTTGTCACTGGGGCTGCTTAAGCAAGTCAGCTTGATGGCATCTTAGCGTAACTTTTGGTGAAGGCTAAATTAACAGACCCCATCAACACCTCTCACAATGTGCTTAAATGGTGACATTGTGATGCCGGATAAGTGAATATATACATGTCCCACTTCAAGTGTCATCAGCATATGAATGAAAGTTAATACTATCTTTTTGTATTATCCTACCTTGCGGCAGCATGTACAGTACAGAGAGAACAATATTGGTCCCAGCACTGATCCCAGTGGTACCCCAAATTGAACTGGTGACATTGACAAAGCAGTACAATTATTAGATATTTGAACATAATGAAAACGATTAGTTAAATATGAAGTAAACCACTTAAGGATGGTTCCACATCAGCCAACCTCAAACTCAAGCCTGTGTAACAATACAGAGTGGTCAACCATGTCAAAGGCAGCACTAAGATCTGGAAGCACAAGCACTGTTGTATTCCCCACGCCAGTAGCTAACAGAATATCATTTACGACTCTTATTAGCTAATATTTGCAAACAAACTGACCTTAAATGGCCTGATGCCATGCCCATTGCATTGATGGCCACGTGGTCTACTGCAAACCTGAACGACTGTACTCTCGCCACATGAGGTCCTGATGGGCAGGCCTATGAGGCTGCCAGTATCTCTGCCGTAAACATTGAAAGAAATGGATATTCATCAAATGGATGATGCAATGTTTTCCTTTTGCACTGGTCTAACTTGAGCTGTCAAGACTTTTCATTCACAGGTGCAAGCAGTGCAGGCTGAAGCAGCAACCGAAGACTGTCACTCCTTTCAGCCAGGTGACTTTGTCTATGTCAAGGACCACCGACGAAAGAACGCACTGCAACCTAGGTGGGAAGGCCCGTACCAGGTGATACTCACCACCCACACTGCTGTAAAATGTCAGACGAATTGGATCTACTTGTCTTACTGCAAGAAGGCCCACCTACCTAAGGAGGGAGGGCACAGTGGAGATTCCAATCAGAACTTTATTGTTATGTTCCACATCCTTCCTCTAGAGGGCACCCCTACCCCTTTCTGTTATGATTAGTTTCTATTATTTCCTGGTGCATCTCATCTGGTTTTTGGTTAAAAGCCTAGCATCTCTGCAGTTCCGGGCTCAGTATTGGAAGACTTGCCTATTTTCCGGGTAACCCAAAGGTAGGCCTTATTCCCCAAAGTCCTGACCGCCTGGGTCCGCGATTCAGAGCGCCTGGTCCTGTTATGTTTTTAGTTCCTGTTCCTGTGCCGGTTCCCACCCGGTTCATATTTTTAACTGTTTGTCTTGGATGGATCTCCCAGCCCTTGGATTACGGACTGTGCCCCGACTTCCCTTTTTGGACTTCCTTGGACTTGGTTGCTTCCGAATTTCCCCCGAGCACTTGATCACTACAGTCACCGCCCCCTGTCTGTTTACCCATCCTAACTCCGTTGTACCTTCCTCAGCTGTCATTTCCGGATTCTATCATCCTCATAGGGTATTTAATAACGCACTCCACGGGAGTCAGAACCGGCTCCTGTGACATCTTTTACTTCTGTTCAGTGTTATTTTGATATTTTACCCTGTTGGTGTGCATGGACACTGAAATACTGAAATAAATCCTTGTAATCCTTGTAAACTACCCAGCCAAGTTGTTGAAGCTGATTCTTTATTCAATTAGATACTGTATCAAACAAATGGCTTTTTATTGTTTGTAACCTTTCATATGTTTTTACTACCTTATCTTTGTGTTTAACTTTTTTAAATATTGTTTTAGTTAGAAGAAAATAACTAAACCTAAGTACCCTAAAATACACTAAAATAACTAAGTACACTTTTTCTATTGTATATAGTTCTAATCTTGATTACACAGTTAATTTGCGGTATTTTTCCACATTCCTTTTGCTTTTGTTTAGTATTACAGCAGTATTACAGAACAATCAGTTTCTTCAAAAGCACCTATAAATATTAGTGTAGTAATATGATGTCAGAAAAACAGACCTGGTAATTCTGCTTTTCACAGATTGAGGGCAATATATCCCTATGTAATAGTTGTCTTCAGTAGAACACAATGAAAACAGTTTTTAAATTGGAGTAAGAGCATTTATTATTTCAACTATTTACTCTGTGGGAGCTGCTGTCAGAAGAATTTTACAAGGTTTAAGGTAGTGATTCATTGTACTATTTAAGACCACACTCAATGTTAGTTCTAGAATAGCTAATTATCCATCTTATTTTCTAAGCTTGCATTAAAATCCAAAGTGAATATCGGTATAGATGTACTTGTCCTTGTACAAACAATATGTGAAATAAGTACAATACAATATATAACCAGATACACAATGTCAGCTAGGGTTAACAATAATAAACTTTATTTTATATAGCATCTTTAAAGGTGGCTTCTCAAAGCACTTGACAGAATGACAATCGCTTTTCACTTTTTCCACCTTTGAAAAGAGACATATATAGCTTACTTAATACTAAAGTGATTTAAACTATTCAAGCAACTGTATTACAAAAAATGATGCCTGTAGCAAGATGTAGAAATTCAACTGTAGAGACCATGTTCAGCTTAGTCTCCAAAACCGGTAAACTGGGCATTGCAATAATCAGAGTAGGACTTTTGCAAAATTAGAATTGGAAGTGTTATCTGAAAGAACAACAATTGACTTATGTTCAGAACATTATGTTCCAAAATTAGATTATGGTGAAAGTTAAGCCCCAAATCTTTAATTTTACTTTGATGAATTATGAGTAATGTATTGTTACAGCTTTAGGTGACTGAGAAGTATAAAGTATAAAGTGTGTGACACTTGGCAGAGTAAACACTTCTAACTTCAAAGCAGAGAGGATGTTTGCTGAGGTCTGGAGTCCCTTCAGCAAAAACAATTGTAAAGTTTACCTTAGTATACCTAGGTAAGTTTTGTGTTAATGATTGTCAAGGAGAAGTACACACATACAATATAAGATCACATAAAGAGCACAGAGAAAGGTAAGAAACAAGAAGTAGGAAAGAAGGAGAGGAGTGACAAAAGTCTGGAGGAGTGGGGACGTGAAGCTTGAGCCAGGCGAGAAGCCCTACTTCATGATATCCCAAACCAAACCTGACTAGAGCTAAGTATTCGAACCTTGCTAGAGAGAGCATGTTATTCTGGAACTTGGGTTCCATTGGTAAAAGATACCTCAGAAATGTCTTTCCTACTTAGGGTGCGTTTTTATGGATAGGGATATACTGTAGGCTCCTATTTATTTTGTGGCATCCGGGGTGCAGAGAGCGAGATTTAACTGCAGATTGCATTGTATTTAGTTAGAAAGCAGCTTATCTCCAACATTACTACTAAGTAATGCTAGTAATGCTACTAAGCATTCAACATTAAGAGTTGAATGCTTAGTAGCAGTCTGGGGTTTTCTGGGTGACCATAATGTTTGGCCTCTGAAACATCTTGTTTGTAAATACTGTACATAAAGTAACTTGTGTGTTGTGTGTGTCGAAGAAAACTCAGTCTTCACTCAGGTTGGGAGATTGTCAAACAGAGATCTGTAATTCATTCAGCTGAAGGGGAGCACATTACAGGGAAAGGGTTTCCCCTAGCATTCAGTAAGACATGCTCACTGGACTGGGCACCCTCACCACTGCTGCATCAGGTAAGCCCCCTACTGTCAGGGACTTGAACCCAGGCCTCCAGCATCACTCAACAGGGACCCAGCCTCTTGAGCCAAAGGGAAACCTCCTGTCAGCCTGGCGGCTGTGGTCCCTGTTCTCCACAAGGAAGGGCGGTGACGTCACCGCTCTGGTAAGCCAGCTCTTGCAAGCAATGGAGGTCGCATGCGTTACAATATCAAAGGAATATACAGGAAAAGGGGCAGTATCAGAAGTCAAACAAACAGGACAGGAAGATGCCATTTGGCATCCTGCAATCTGTTTCATTTATCTCTGGTTGAATGGGTGTGAAGAATCACAGGCTTTAGTTTGCACCAGTGGTCAGTGGACAGTGGTCTTAGGTGCAAACAGAAAACCTTTTTGCACCAGAAAAGCATATTCACTTTCTTGACCTTTTTCACCCGGTCCATCACATGTTTTGTTGTGTGTAGTGTAGTTTGTATCTTGTCATTGTAACAAATATTTGTTAAAATGGTACTGTATGCCTGGATTATTATTCTTTTCAACAAAGCTGTGCTAAAGAACAAATAATTAATGTGCCTCTAATTATACCAGCCGCTTGGGTATATTGCTAGAAATCACTTACAAGTTGAGGGTTATGAATGTTTATTTTACTTATTGACTAAACTGCTCTTAATTTTCAACATTTTCGTAACTGTCACATAAGTCCGACAGGACGAACTGTGGAATGGCAGGAGAGCGATAAAGACCCTATGCGTAGCGGCGAGACTGGTGTTAGCCCAGGCTCAGCTGTTCAGGAGAAGCCATATAGAAACCTATGCCCTCAGGCCAAGGACAGGAGTGACCTGGTGCTAGGCAGGTCTCAGGGAAACTGACCTAACAAACAAACAAATCACAAACAAAATTAAACCCTGA